GTGAAGATCACTTTATAATGATTTGAAAAAGGTAGATTAATATGTTAGTGAAATTAAGCACATAAGAGTGATATAATGACAAACTGATGAACAAAAACAAAATGTTGTCCTGTTATTGTCATTGTACTTAAGGTTGCCATGGCTACAGAAATTGGAGGAGCATCCTTAGATGACACAATACAACCAGCTGTGCGATTCCTCATGTCCCATGAACTGGAAGTCCAGTTCAACCTTTTTGGCCAACATTGGAAACAAGCTCTTGGACCTGCGTCTCTTTGATGTTTTGTATGGTAAATATCAGTTTTTATTGTCAGAGTAACTTTTTTTTTTCACTTTTCTTTCTTAAACATATGTTAATTTATTTTGGTTGTTTTATGCTTTTGTTTGTTATTTTTAGTAATGTTTTTAGGTTAAAAATTGAGTCTTCAATTTTTGGTTTTATTTGAACAGTATTCTTTCACTGTTGTTAAGAACTTAAAAATTTGAAGGTAATATTGTTTGCATTTCAAACAATATTAAAATAACCACAAAACCACGATAGAACCTAGTAGTTGATTTATATAGATGGATATATTTTAAATTTACAGTAAGAATATAGTTTCTGTACATAATAATGATGACTCAAGAGTCCTTTTGATTATGGCATATCTCTGCAAGCATTTTTGCCCCATGAAGGGGGAGATGCAAATCTCATGAATGTTACATTGTGCTAAAATGAAACACTAATACAATTTCTACCTTTGCTTGTTATTTCAGGGGACTTAAAAGAAATTATCCATCTACAGAATCACACAAGCATACAGCAAAGACTCTCAAAGTGGTTTACTGGAGCCCGAGTGGAAGTGGAAATAGACTAGAGAGACTGCCAGTTCAAACTCAGGTTGGGGAGGTCTTTCAAGATGGACAGTTTCAGTAAAGTATGAGAGATTTCAAATTTAAGCATGCATATGGCATGTAGGTTATTTTAAAAATGTTTAACAAAAATGTATTGTGAAAGATCTATATAGGTGTGTATATTCACATTGTGTGTATCAATGTGAATATACGTGTATAAAGTTATATAGATAGTATTTAGATGTATACATTTATAGACCTGTAGGAAAATATGTAGGTGTCTTTATTTGTGTGCATCTATAGATATATATTTATAGATCTGTTTATAAGTTTGTTATAGTAAACTAGCTTCTGTTATTTTCAAAGATGTGGGGAATAATTGCAGATTTCTTTGTGGCACCATTCCCTGAGTATTAATGAAGTTCTAATAATTGCTGTAGTGAGGTAAAAAAATAACTCCTGACAATATTTTAAATTACTAAATAAAAGCCTTGAGCAAAATAAATTTTTCATCTCTTTTTTTTTTTTTTATTTGAACACGTTTTAAGCTAGACTTTGGATTGTTGATCAAGATTGCATATCTATGAATGTAATTCACATCCAGGTTAGATGAGAATTGTTCCTACAGGATTAAGGCATCTGGGTCCCACTGAAAACCCAGTCAGCACCCATTGAAATCAACCTGGGCAAACCCATGTGGGGCCACCATGGAAACCGTGGACAAACCCACTTGTTACCCATATTCTAGCCCAGTTCAGACCCAATTGGGACCCAGGTAAATATTCCTGACAGCACCCTAGTGGCCACAGATGAGCCTCATGTAAGTTAACCACATGGGCCCCACTGAAAACCCAGTCAGCACCCATTAAAATCTACTTGGGCAAACCCATGTGGGGCCACCATGGAAACCGTGGACAAACCCACTTGGTACCCGTATTCTAGCCCAGTTCAGACCAAATTGGGACCCACGTAAATATTCTTGACAGCACCCTAGTGGGCCACAGATGGGCCTCATGTGAGTTAACCACATGGGCCCCACTGAAAACCCAGTTAGCACCCATAAAAATTTACTTGGGAAAACCCATGTGGGGCCACCATGGAAACCGTGGACAAACCCACTTGGTACCCATATTCTAGCCCAGTTCAGACCCAATTGGGACCCACGTAAATATTCCTGACAGCACCCTAGTGGGCCACAGATGGGCCTCATGTGAGTTAACCACATGGGCCCCACTGAAAACCCAGTCAGCACCCATAAAAATTTACTTGGGCAAACCCATGTGGGGCCACCATGGAAACCGTGGACAAACCCACTTGGTACCGTATTCTAGCCCAGTTCAGACCCAATTGGGACCCACGTAAATATTCTTGACAGCACCCTAGTGGGCCACAGATGGGCCTCATGTGAGTTAACCATGTGGGACCCACTGAAAACCCAGTCAGCACCCATAAAAATTTACTTGGGCAAACCCATGTGGGGCCACCATGGAAACCGTGGACAAACCCTTTTGGGACCCATATTGCCTGCCCACTTATATCCCATATGGGGCCCACCTAGGTGTGCTGGCTGGGAAGTGGTTCCACTAAATTGAAGTGAACTCTTTTGTTTCCACGAATGCAAGGCAGGATTTTGAGATGCAGGATGTTTTACTCTTATACTGACCTGCAAAGAATCGTTCACCAGATGAAAATCTGTTTCAGTTCTTTTTTTAAAAAGTTTTCCACTATTTCATTCTTGTTCCACTTCCTGTGATGATGGAGATTTTTCATTGTTGTGGTTTCAAGACATGAGCCCACAGTCATGAGATCCGCCAGATATTACAATTAATTAAGACAATATTGGCAAAAGCACAATTTTAACAGAATTACTGCAGAATATACAAGATTTATATATATATAGCAATATTTGATTTTTTAAAAAAAGTCTAAGTGTAAAAATTAGGCAGACTACTGTCATAATAGATTTTCTTTTTGCATTATGAATCTGTTCTCAGATCATATGAAGCCAATCTGGAAAGGTGAACCTCAGGGCTCATTTTTAGGACTTCTCCTTTTTCTCTCAGAGTTTCTCATTCACTGCTCTGTCATTTCCAGCTAAATGCTGACATCAGTTTGATCCTTTATGTGTGAGAAAGCTGCCAGTTTAAACTATTAGGATTCATTTTAAACTATTGCTGTAAAGATGCACCTTTTGTTTTGTTACTTTTAACTATGGCAGAAAGCTGAATGTTTACAGAAAGAAAAGATTTAAAGATTTCAATTACTGTGAAAACTATTTTTCAATGTGAGCCAGAACAAAGTTTACTCTGAAACTGACTGACGTCATTTTATTAAGCTGCCATTTCTCTAACTGTCTGAATTAAAGGAGGCAAAGATCTCATACACACACACACACACACACACACACACACGCACACACACACACACACACACACACACACACACACACACCCCCACACACACACGCACACACACACACACCCTCACACCCCCACACACACACACACACACACACACCCTCACACCCCCACACACACACACACACACACACACACGCACACACACACCCTCACACCCCCACACCCCCACACACACACACACACACACACACACACACACACACACACACACACACACACACACATCTGCCCTCTAGGTGAAAACCACGTGATGTTTCCTGATGGATTCATCACTCGAAGTTTTTCTTTAGTGACATCTGGTGGTCAACAGTGTGATTAGCAGCTTCAGTCTGTAACTTTAAACAGCTGCATGATGATTGTCCACTTTGTAAAAGTTGGTGGAAACTTCAGTTTATTAATCACGTATCAAATCTTTTTATTTGTGTTTTGAACATGACATTGTAAAACATTTTTTTTATTTGTTTAAATAAAATAATTTTGATAAATAAATGATGTGATCTACCTGCTTGTGACAATCTAAGTTTTACTGGATGTGGGCAAAATTAATCTTTTACAAAATATGTTTTATACTTATTTTATTCCTTGCTTGTTGAGTATCCTGATGATTAGAGTTGCTACTTTAATACTGAAGCAGCTGTTACTATAGCGCCATCTGCTGGGAATAATAAACAAGCACAGATCTAAAAATAATTGATTAAACCTTTCTGTCACTTCTCGTCATTTGATTGACCTTGACCTGAACTAGTGTGGAATAAAACAGGTGCATCATAATCAGTGCACATCTGGGCTGCTCCACACTGCCCCCTACTGTTTTAACACCTGATTCACACTGAAAAGCTTTTATTTGAGGAACAAAATCAGCTGAAATCAACTTTAGATGACGATTAGATGAACTTCAGAGAGTTATCTTTGTCATTTACAGAGAGAAAGTGAAAACAGAATACAACCAATAAACATTTGATTATTGATTATTGATTTTATTAATGTTGGATTAAAGGTCTGTCAGTGCAACAATGAGTCAATAAATAATAAAATATGTATAAATAATGTAACGAGGTGATGTCACATTTTAATGACTCCCATGTTGTTACTGTTGAGACCAAATTTCAATACAAAATGTCTGCTAATAGAAAACAATTAGTGATTGTATTGTTTGTTTAGATTTCTGGTCGGAAACAGAAATCAAGTTTTTTCTGTTGTTAAACTCTTGATAAATTTATAATTGATGTAAAAATGCAGGTGAAAACCATAAAATACCATCTAATAACACTAAATATGACACAATGTTCATAAGTATTATTGCATTACTCCTATAATACTGGTAAAAAAAAAAAAGTCAACAAAATAGCTGCAAAATTTACCTTCAGTCATCAAAAAGAAAAAAATAAATACAGAACTATAGACCATCAGTCAGTAACCAGGTTCATAAATTAGCATTTTATTTACATTTTCTATCTGAACTTAAACCTCATTTTTAAACCTTATGGTTTTTCATTCTGTAACTTTTACAATAAAAATATGAATCTGTTCTGTGTTGATTATTTCAATCAATTATCCTCCCTCTGTATATAAGAAACTCTCATTTTTAATGTTTCTATCATCTTTTCTCAGGCTTGTCCAGTTTCCACCTGCATTATATTTCCATTCTCTACCAGCAGATACTCAGATTGGCTGAAAGCTTTTGCTTTTTTCTCCCGGGCCAGAAGCTTCTGCTTGGTTTCTTCAGTCTCAGCCATCCTTCGCTGTGACTCTGATGTGATGCATCCAGGTCTTCAGTTTGTTCTTCACTTCCTGCAGCGTTGCAGCTTCATCTCTGCAGTCCTGCTCCGTCAGCTGGAGCTTCCTCTGAAGCTCACAGTTTGTTTTCCGTAATTCTTCTCTCTCACCTGAAGTTAAAACACAAACAAGAAATTAGCAAAACAAAAACCCTGCAAAGATCTGTCTGGAAAAAAATCTTTATTCGATCTTCTGACGTTTGATTTTTAAGACAATCCAACACATTTACAGCTTTACATGAACCTGAGCTTTTCAAAATGCATTTAGGTTCATTAAGGTGTCAATTTAATTTTAACAAGAGGAAATGAACAGAAAAAATAAGAGACATGAAGCCCAATTATTTTAAATCAATGATTTAAAGCTTTCTGGATGAACAAACCAGTTTAATTAATGTGTCAGCTGAAATGCTTGAGAGTTCAGAAAACATTTAAAGCTTGACGGTTCATTATAAAAGGAGTATATAGCTGTTGCAGCAGCTCAGACATGTCAGCTCTCATTTGTTCTTTTCTAACATTTTTGGGTGACATATTGCTTGTCTTTACTACAGTTTCTCTGGTTCTGGAAGTTGAGCAGCTGGATGGATTTCTGCTCTTACTATTTTATGTTTGAATTGTTGCTCTGATGCTCATCCATGTCAACAGCAGCGTCTCCCACTCATCCAGCTGAAGTAGTTTTCTTTACAAAAGCAACTTTCAGACCAATTCTCTCCAGATGGATTCTTACATTCTGTCTCAGTTCGTCCCATTCCAAACTCATTTCTGGACCAGCATTTATGAAATTACTCACTTAGAAGACAAATGGTAAAACCAAGACAAAAATGTTTATTTACATCACAAAAATGTATGTTTTGCTCTTCCTACTACTGAGTTTGTAGTTACTTTGACTATTAACAAAAATTGACAAATAACAGAGACTTACTCTTGATCTTGTTGATGTAATTAAGAGTGATCATCCCAAACACCAAGTCCATGAAGACACTGAAGGAGAAGATGGAGAATCCCTGCAGACATGGCTGCCACCAGATCAGCTGCAGTTACAACACAACAGCATTTGATTACTGACAGTGATCTAGAAAAACAGCTGCTTTCAGTGGAGAGGCACAGATTACCTCCACACATGTGCATCAGAAGAATGGTGACCACTGTGTCCAGAGGGAGAGGTCCACTCAAAGTGGAGACTGCAGACGTGAAGAACAGTTCTTCTGAGCGATGAATCGCAGTCACGTCCTGAAAGAATAAACTCTTTAGTTTTCCAAAGTGTTTGTCACACCCTGAGTTATCAGTGTCACATCCTGTAACAAACGTAGTCAAAATGAAACTGAAACTGACTTTACCATAAATGCATCAATAACTACATCAATAAATGGGTTGATACTGATAACTTACTATTACAGGTTCTGTTTTAAAGTCTTCTTTCTGTTTTAAAACTACATTCATCTGCTGCTCTTTTAATTTCCTTCCCTGTTCTTCCACCTTTTTCATTGACTGCATTTCCAGTGGAAAATGAACCATCCCTGGATGTGCTGGTTTATCACCTGGAAAATAATCTAATATTGAAAAGGACAAAAACACGACAGCATTAAAAAGCAAACAGACAGAAAGCTGGATCATAAGGAAGAATCACTTACAGGTCCAAGAGGAAAAAGCCAAAACAGACGCGACAAACGAAACCATTTTATAAGCCATGATAATTACAGGAGCCAGAAACCTGCGGCATAGTTAAAGCACAGAAATCGATCTGATGGTCAAACACTTCATATCAGGAAAACAGCTAAAGTTAAAACAATTATATAGTTATAGAATGACTGAATGTTGACAAGAAATATCATGTTCCGTGAAAATACTGTAATAAACTACAATATTTTACCAAGCAACATAACTCATAAAAGCCTGCAACACTCACCTCTGTTACGTTATTGAAGCTTTGAGCCGATAACCTCACCCAGCTGATCAAAGTGCTGCCATCTGGACTTTACTCCCATCATGTAATAAACTGGATGTATGAGTGGCTTGTGAAGCTTTCAGTTATGTAATGAAATACATAATGTAGCTCAGACCTACAGGAATGCATGCAGTGCAGATTTCTTTTCCAGATATTGGATTTTAACTTGCAATAAATTTGTACTTTTCACATAAATTACACTGAAATATATTAAAAATGTTTATATTAGGCATGATTGTTTAGCTGTTTTGATGCTGCTTCCTGTTTTCCAACATTTGATTTTATAATGAAAAATATGGATTATGATGGACTCAACAGTTCCTGCTGTCAGATTTTTATTCTAGTTTTGAACTTTTTAAGGTCAGATGATCTGGGGATGAAGTTTCAATAATCTGTGAGTCCCAGGAGATTTACTAATATATTGATTTTTAGGTCATTCAATTAAAAAGGACAAAAGACAAGAACAAAAAGTCAACCAAAAATACAGTTTTGATCATTTTTATTATATTTTCCAGCCTGATCACACCGACCAATGTTTTTACTAAATAGTACGAATAGAGGAAAAAGTTTTGAAAAAATAACTGTTAAATGAATCTGAATTGACAGAAGGAAGGTGGTCAGACTTTTTGGTTTTGCAGAGAAAAAATAAAAATTAAGTTCCAACAGAAAAACATGAACATAAGGAGCATTATTCCCAAATCCATGTAGAGAACTGTTGCTGACTTGACTTAGAGTTGATGAATGATTGTAAAAATATATTTATGCATTAGAAAAAAACAATGTGGTCCTTTATACACAGTAGTTGGATTCAGATCAGGGTCATTTTAAAAATGTGACAACTATAATTAAAAATCTGACTTAAAAAAAACAGCTGTTAGAATAAAATTCTTACTCTTTTCTATAAATTACAGATTTCAAAATATTATGATAAAAACTGAAAACTTACTGAGAAACCACATTATTTTAATTTCCCCGTTACTGTTCATGATTTGTGCTCATAAATCTCTATGGGTTCCAGGCTCTTTTCTATGTTTAATATTTGTTTTTCACATAGTTTCTTCTGTTCATCCAGTTTCCACTGAGACTGTAAAAGCTTTTCTTTGTTCATTAACAACATCTCATGATCAGAATCTTTTCTCTGGGACATTAATTCCTCTACAGACTGAAGATATTTTCTGTTGTTCTTCCTTCAGCCTCAATTTGATTTAATTCTGCCATCAGTTGATGTTTCTGCTTCTCCAGTTCCTGTTTCACCTCCTTCAGGGGATTTTTCATCATAACTGGAAGTGAAAAGGAAAAAATATATTAACATAATGAAGCAGTTTGCAATTCCTAGACTAACCACAAAGAGAAAATCAAAGAACTCAAATATAACCATGCTAAAGATCTGAAAAAGCAAATGCTATCAGGCAGTAACAGGAGCCTCTGACAGTCTGTTTCACACTTTGTTTTCATTTCCAGTGTCTGAATGGAGAATATACAGACAAACTTCATCACCATAACGTACATTTCTCTATCAGTCGAAGAACAACGTGAAGAGTCATCATCACGTCAAACCAGAAACTTACGACTTCTGTAGCTACAGAGAGAAGAAACAACTGGGTTAAAGGAAACGACGTGAAACAAGACACAGTTTCAATATTTAACTTATAGAGCAATAATCTTAAAGGTCAATGAAATGGATGGAAAGTCATGTACATGTTGTTAGTAGTCATAACTCACCTTTGGATTTACATCGATGGAAAACTCGACCAGGAGTCGTTTTTATGAACAACAAGAACTTTTCAGCTGTTACAGTCAGAAAAGAGAAAATCACAGTATAAAACAAGTCACTGTTTTTTAATGGTTAGCTGTGAGAAAATACAGATGATAAGTTGTGATAACTTACCCCTGCTTTTCCACTGGAAGACAGAAAGAACCAGATTATTATAAACTGCAGTAACTTTATTCCAAGGCCAGAAAAGAAAAGCTGAAATGAATCCAGTCCTCTCCGTCTGAGCGGCCATTGTTCCTGGAGAGAAATCAAACCAAGGGCAAATATCAAACTAAAATCAATATTTTTATCAAAAACTGAGAGAATAAATACAAAATAACTGGTCAAAATCTTAATAGTTACAATCTTAAACAAGAAGCAGAAACAGTTTTAATCTAATGTGTATTAATTTATTGCAAAAATAACAAAAACTAAACCTCAGAAAAAGTTTAATCTAAAATATTAAGACATGCTGATGAGAAACTATTCTGTGGAAACATAGAGAGATCACATCACAATCTAAAGCGAAAGGAAAGGGAAAGATTAACCAGTGATAACAACGATAATTACCTTAGTAATTAATAATATTAAGTAAAATTAATGCCTTTTGAGTTAATTTCCAAAAGAAAATCGAACATTGGGAGAACATACCAGCTGCGTTCAGGATGAAGTCGGTTTCAATGTGCGACGTAATCCAGTCAAAGTCCTGCTACAAGATAAAGATAAGATAAAAAAGTCACTTTGTTCTGTTCAGTGTTTCATACATGATGTCAATGTTCTGTTACTGCTTTCCAACACTTTTTAAAAAATGATAGTATATTAACCACAAACATTTATTATCACCTTCGACGTTTCTTTTGACCTGAAACTTCCTGCTGGCAATAAAAGCTTTGATAAACCAGTTCTCCTGTTCCAGGTGTACAGACAGCAGGGGGCAGTGTGGAGCTGCTAAAACCTGCAGCCATTATGATCAAGAACTGTTCAATGATCACAACTGTTCAATGATCACAACTGTTCAATGATCACAAGCAAAGAATCAAAGTTCAGTCACAGAAAAAAGAAACAATAATTGAATCCCGTTATGAACATTGTGTGTAGCAACATGGAAAAACGACAAAGTGAAGCTTGAAGAGCAGATAATATTTAAATCTATAGAACCTGAGTATCTGTGTGTATTAATTAAATATTAAATTAAAGTTAATTGTACATTAATATGTCATTATTCTACCTGCTGCTTTGCTGCACTGAGTAACAATCCAAACAGGAAGAGGAAGTTCTGCTGCACATGATCAGGGTTCACATGTGAGACACGTTCAGTCAGCATCAAGCATCAGTCATGGAGGTCACAGCTCTCTGCTCACAGATCTGTGAGTACAGATACAGTCTATATATATTATCTATACTTTGAGTTTTTAATCTAAAGCTTCTTCTCATGTTTCTACAGTCATGAACGTTTTTGTCTTTCTGTTGATACAAACTGATCTGAGTTTCACGGATCAGAAACCTGGTGAGTCGGAAACTATTTTGTTTCATGCATTTATTTTGTGAAAAGTATTTTTATTTTATCAGATTTAATTCTAATTATTTTTAATCTGTTTACAAACAAATCCAGCAGCAATCTAAAATTATCACAAGTTAATAAAAATAAGTTTTCATTGTTATTTTCCATGGATTATATTAAAGTTGATCAATTTATTTCTGTATTTTATCTTTTCAGCTTTTCCTGTTGTCTCTCCAGACAGACTTCAGTTCTTTGAGTATGAGTCTGTCTTTGTAAGCTGTGAGGAAGACAAGAAAGTGAGGAGAAAACTTCACAAAATGAGTTCAGCAGATCATTCTGGCGCCTGCAGCGTCGCAGCTGCATCCTGCAGCATTCAGTTCGCTTTTTGAGACACAGCGGAGAATACTGGTGTGAAAACCATGAAGGGGAAAAGAGCCGGGCTCTCAACATCTCTATTACAGGTCTGAATGTTCACTGGTCTCAAGAAGCTTCTAAAATTTCCAAAAATCTTGTTCTGGTGTTTTTTTACCTAATGAGAAAAGCTTTGTTAAAATGCAAAGAGTTTGTTATGTGAACAAAAGAAGTTTCTACCTTTAATGTGACCTTTAACCTGCACATTGCAGCTCAGATCAGAATGAAGACGAGTAAAAATGTGTTTGCACAGGTTTAAACCGATACACTAATAATCCTCCTGTTCATTTTATTCAATTGAATGTTTTAAATTACAAAACAAGCCATTGTTTTGCAAAAACTCTTTAAATTTGTCTTTTTGTGGTGCCTTGGTCAGATATACTCAGATCTGGTCTTATTTATCATTTGTATTTTATTCTGGTGAAAATGTTCCTTAATTAATTTTGGATTGTTTGCTTGATGCTTCATGAAGATCTCAGGCATTTCAAAGTCACTACTTGCCTGATGTGATGTTCTGTGATGACGTCCATATTAATGCAGTAATTCCTTTTAAAATAATTGTTGCTTTTCTCTCTATAAATGTAATTTTACTATTAAGTTTTTCAAGTTGCAGGCATGAAAACCTAGTAATTTAAAAAGGTTGAGTGATCTTTCATGTGAACATTTTTAAACTATATAAAAATATATTTTGGCACAGAAACAGCAACATGTTGAAACTTTTCTCTTCCACCAGTCGGTCCAGTGATCCTGAATATTTCTGCTCGGCCGGCGAAGGAAGGATCTGACGTGACTCTCCGTTGTTTCAACAAGAACACAAAGAAGACACACATAAGTGATTTTTACAAAGATGGCGTCCATCTCACCACCCACTATGAAACCGACATGACCCTCAGAAAACGTCTCCAAGTCAGACGAAGGATTTTATAAATGCACCATTTCCCGAGCCGGAGAGTCTGCTGAAAGCTGGCTGGCTGTCACTTCAACAGAACAACAACAAGAAGAAGACGGTATATTTATGTTGGCTAAAGCAGTGAACTGTGTTTTTGTTCACTAAATGAATCAAGTTATAAAAATCACAGGCATCCAACACGTCTTCAGTTTATGT